TCTTTTTGAGATGGAGTTTCCCTCTTGTCGCCCAGGCTGGAGTACAATGGCGCAATCTCGGCTCACTGCAGCCTCCACCTCCGGGTTCAAGTGATTCTCCTGCCTCAGCCTCCCGAGTAGCTGGGACTGCAGGCGCCTGCCACCATGTCCGGGTGATTTTTTGTATTTTTAGTAGAGACAGGGTTTCGCCATGTTGGCCAGGCTGGTCTCAAACTCCTGACCTCAGGTGATGTGCCTGCCTCAGCCGCCCAAAGTGCTAGGATTATAGGCGTGAGCTACCGTGCCCGGCTGCTTTCTTTCTTTTACTAAAAAATATTATGAAACATCTGTTTTTCTCAGAACACTGTGCCAGGTACTGGGGGAGTGCACAGCTCTGTACAACATGGTTTCTACCCCTCAAGGAGTTGGTAGACTACTAGCTAAGATATAAGATATGCACAGGTACAACTAGCCACTCTGTTCTATGTGCTTGTTTTCTGATCAACTCTAATTTGAGTTAGATCATTCCTTAGGTTTAGTCTCACCACAGATCAAAAGATGGACACTACTCTTAATAGAAACATGCCTCACTTTATGGCATAGATGTTTTTCAGGGCACTTATACAGCAGTCATCCTGTTTGTATCAAATCATATTTTTGCTAGCATAACTTTTAATTTGAGAAATGCTTTATCTTTATGACTGAGGTTATGTCAACACAATTCATGCTTCTCTATTGACCTAAGATAGCTGTTAACTAACTTTTATATTACAAGTAAGAATTTGTTGAAGAATAACTTTTAGTCGGCATATTAACTTCCCAAATAGCTGTGGAATGGACTGGGGTGAGTTTATGAGCACCCAGTAGTATGCATTTCAGTGAGCACAGTCTTCTCAGTTAAATTCACTTTCTACTCCTTACTGTTAACACTGTTCAGAGACTAGACTGTCCCCAGGGTGGATAAAAAATTACAAAATAAACTAATTAACTTCTTCCATCTACCTCTCCCAAATTTATTCATTTTCCTGTATTCCTCATCTCAGTGGTAGCATCATTCTCCACCAAGTCCCCTACGAAAATCACCCTAGAACCTTCCCAGTGCTTCATCTCCCACGTCTAGCGGGTCACTAAGTCCTCCCAATTATTCCTTGCAAGTACTTCACCTTCCTCTCCAGTTCTACTACCTTAGTTGATTTCCTCTGTGGATAGTCAGAAGAGCCTCCTAAAGAGTCTCTCTGCATCCAGACTTGCTCTGACCCTTCCTGCCATCTATTTTCCATCTGATACCTCTAGGAATCATCCTAATATGCAAATCTGATCATGTCTCTCCCCTGCTGAGGATTGTTTAAAAGTTTATCCGGAATAGATTTAATCAACTTAGTATGGCTAATGCCCTTCAGAATCTCACACTTCCCTGTTCTTCATCCTTTGGGACTCTTCCAATGGGAGCTCAACTGCAGGCATGAGACGTGTCCATCATTTTTCAAAGCTTCCAAGACTTGACTCCGAGCAACTGGGTAGATACTAGCACCATGTACTCAAATGGGAAAGAATGATAAAGAACCAAAATCGTTGGGGGCAACCTCAGGGGGTTATTTCATGAATTAACATTTAAAATGTATAAAAATCCATTAGGCTTGGTTTGCATATAATAGGAACCTGAAAATAGTGGTTTAAACAAATAAGTGTTCTTGTTCACAAATAATAAATCCAGAGCTAGGGAGTCCAGGGTTGGCGCAGCAGTCACATGATATCATCAATGCCAAAGATTCCCTCTACCTTCCCACTGCACCATCTCAACATGCCAGCTTTGTCCTCATGGTTTTTGCTTCAAAGTCAGAAAATAACTACTCCACCTTCCTGATTGCGTTCTGGGCAGGAATTACCCTGTTGTACATAGTAGGTGCCTTGAAGATACGAGCAAAAATAACCAAGGAATACAAATAGATGTAATTTTAGGAAAATATGGTCGAATGGTTTAATGAGGAAAAGTCAATTTAAAACACTGTATCTAGGAAAAAAAATGTATCCTAACCATTGTGGGAAGTGGGGAGAGGATAGAGGCCTATTTAAGAATGGAAGAAAAGCTATTGGCCCTTGTGCCAGAAAAAATACATATATCTGTACCTGCAAACTTGTGGCCTTTGTGGAGAGGTTACGGACTCTGAAAATTCTGTCCCTGGACTTCTAGTGGTTCCTGGACCTCAATTAAGAATCTCTAATTAGGCCAGGTGTGGCTGCTCATGCTTGTAATTCCAGCACTTTGGGAGGCCATGGCAGGGGGATTGCCTGAGGCCAAGACTTCTGTAACCACCCAGCAAGTTCTCCTTGTCCGCTGACCAGACAGAGTTGATCTATCAAGACAAGGGAATTGCAATAAAGAGTTTAATTCACGCAGAGCCGGCTGTACAGAAGGCCAAAGTTTTATTATTACTCAAATCAGTCTCCCTGAAAATTCAGAGATTGGAATTTTTAAGGATAATTTAGTGGGTAGGGGCCAGTGAGTCGGGAGTGCTGGTCAGATCGGAGTAAAATCATAGGGAGTTGGAGCTCTCCTCTTACGCTGAATCAGTTCCTGGGTGGGGGACCACGAGACCAGATAAGCCAGTTTATCCATCTGGGTGGTGCCAGCTGATCTGTCAATTCCGGGTTTACAAAATATCTCAAGCCCTGATCTTAGGTTTTACAATAGTGGTGTTATCCCCAGGAGCAACTTCAGAAGGTTCAGGATCTTGTGGCCTCCAGCTGCATGACTCCTAACCATAATTTCTAATCCTGCGGCTAATCTGTTAGTCCTGCAAAGGCAGTCTAGTCCCCAGGAAGGAAGGGGGTTTGTTTTGGGAAAAGGCTGTCCTCATCTTTGTTTCAACGTTAAACTCTAAGTTCCTCCCAAAGTTAGTTCAGTTTACACCCAGGCACGAACAAGGATAGCTTGGAGATTAGAAGCAAGGAGGAGTCAGATTAGATCTCTTTCATTGTCATAACTGCTGTCTCAGTTATAATTTTTGCAAAGGCAGTTTTAGTTCAAGACCAGCCTGGGCAACATAGCAAGACTCCATCTCCACAAAAGATAAGATTAGTGGGGCATGGTGGCACACACCTGTAGTTTCAGCTACTCGGGAGGCTGAGATGGAAGGATTGCTTGAGCCCAGGAGTTTGAGGGTACAGTGAGCCATGATTGGGCCACTGCACTCCAGCCTGGGCAACAGAGCAAGATTCTGTCTCAAAAAGTTAAAAGGATCTCTACTTAGATTATGTGAGCCCCTAAGTGACTGCATTTGTGCACTAGAATTAGCTAAAGTAGGGTGAAAAAAGATGCATTTTATGCTCTAGTCCCATAATAAATAACCCAGTGTACCATAACTACTAAGAAACTGTTCATTAAATGAATGGTCGTGTTCAAGACTGAAATCAAATGACAAATTCTGTTTGATATGTCCTATTCATGACCAACCACATAAATGAACATATTACTTTGCAAGCATGCCAATGCAACATTAGTTATATGGAATCAAATGAAGAAAAAGAATGTAATTTTTCATATATAAACATTTCAGGTAAGTTTTTACTTCCCACACAGATTTTTCATATTAAAGATTTGGCAACGGGTTCTTTTTACACTGTGTTCTTATTATATGTTTATATTATCTCAGGCACAGATGTTGGTAATCTTTTCCTTTCTGCTTATAACAGCAAAAAAATGTCAGAAGATTTGCCATATGAAGTGAGAAGGGCTCAAGAAATATATCATTTATTTGGTCCAAAAGATGGTGAAGATTCCTATGACATTATTTTTGACCTTCACAACACCACTTCTAACATGGGGTGCACTCTTATTCTTGAAGATTCCAGGAATAACTTTTTAATTCAGATGTTTCATTATATTAAGGTAAGGTTAATGTTATTAATTTGTAAGTTAGCCAAGGACTTGTACTTTTAAGTCAACTATGGATGTGAAACAATCAGAAAACGGTTACGAGGGAAGGTGCAAGAGAAATGGGATTTATTCCACAGCCAGGCTTGTGGTTGGGGGAAAGGGTGCTGCCAGAACACAGAGGCAGTGGTGAGAGGAAGGAGAAAAAGAGAGGAAATAAGTAAAATAATAAACACAATTAACAAAGTACTAAAACACTTGTGGATTCTTGGGTCTATAAAATTATACATTTTATCCAGACAGCCATCAGATTGTGGGCTATTAGTTAAAATCAAGTAAAATGAATATTAAAAATGTAAATGGTATGGTCAATTTGTCAAAACCAAGTAAAATTAATATTAAAACTTTAAATGGTATGGCATCTCAATTACAAGGTTTTAGGAAACTTAAGAAATAGCCCTTCAATGTCGATTAAAGCCCAGTGATAAAAAGATGGCCTCCCTTCAGTCCTGCCCTCGTCCCCATTTGATTTAGACACCCCAGAACACATCTAATCTTTCAGCGCTTCATATAGTCAATCATTTTAAGGCTCAGAAATCTCAAAGAAAATGTGCTAGAAAATAGCAACCAACCAGAAACACACATAAGGAACTGTATGCTTATTTCTGTGTACTAGTCTTCTTTCCTGAGAGCAAGGATGATCGAGAGGAAAGAGTGTGGCCTGTGCTCAGATCCTCACTTTCTCCTTCACTAACCTCATGTAGCAGGACCAGCGGCAGACAAAACTTGGCAGA